GTGTGTGTGTGTGTGTGTGTGTGTGTGTGTGTGTGTGTGTGTGTGTGTGTGTGTGTGTGTGTGTGTGTGTTCAGGTCAGGATGTGAGCGGTGTGTTGGACAGCTCTGTCGCGGTTGACACGAGCATGCTGGAGCAGTACCTCAGCAACGATGTGGACCCCATCAGCTTGTAAGAGTCACCCTCAAAGACACATCGACACTTTGAGATCATGTTTTTCATCTGTTGCTCTTTTGGAGGTGAAAAGGGAGGTTTAAACATTTGAAATGTCCTTTAATGTGGATAGGAACCTTTTTTTAATACCTCTCTAATTTTGTACTTTTTTGCATATTTGAGGTACAATTATCCGATTTTATTTCTGTCTGACAGCATGAACTCAGTTCTCCTCCTGTTAGGGTCATGACCCTACAGTTATGATGTAGGGTCTATAAAATGAAGTCCTGACTGTATTTCAATATTTTAATTGCCTGATAATCATTTGAATATATCTCAGTTACAAAGTTCACTATCAGGTGCAGAAGGTTTCCTCGTATTTTGCTGCATGAAACAGCTCATCCTGAAGCTGCAGAACTAAATATGAATATCATCATTTCTCCCTGGAGGAGATTCTGTTAGACAACAAACATTAAGTCAGTGTTCAGCTGGTTGGTTATCACCAAAGGGAAGGCTGTAAATGCATAACACAATTAAACACTTATATTAAATATGAATAAGAATTGCTCTTCATGTTGTCTTTTTCCTCCCAGCATGCTGCCTGAGTCTCCTCCTGATTCGGGCTCAGAGGCCTGGTCACCTGCACAGATTCCAGGTACCATTTACAGACATCAGACATGCATTTTTATATGCAATATTTGCATTTTAAGAGACAACAAATTTCGTTTTTTCACATTCCTTTCTCCCATAGACCGCACGCTGACAAGAGCACTGGTTTTATTAACATTTGAAAAGCAAACCTGATCAAGCACACATGGTGACCCCTTTATAGCTATTCATAACTGAAATAATAATTACAACACCGCACAACTTTAACAGCCCCTTGAGTCTGCAGAAGCGTTCTTCACTTGTAATCTAATAATCTAGTACAAATTATTAATTCCAACAAGTGTAATCTTCCTCGTTATGTGTGAAAAAACTACAAACCTGTTACCTTGGGAGTGAGTGACTGGTTGCTCTTGTTGTGATGATTGTGCCAGCAAAGAGACCTCCCAAACATCAGGCATATGCACATCTGTGCTAATTGTTCAAGATATAAAAATAACAATGACTTGAGGCTCATAATAATCATGTTTTATCGCGAATAATTTATGAAACAAAAAAGCTTTTGTAAGACATTTTCTTCTCTAATCAGGGAACCTCCGCTACATGTCATCCTATTGGTCCAACCAGCCAACCACGCAGGAGGCATTTCAACCCACAAATGCATCTGCTGCTTCCTCCTCCTGTCACTTTAAGGGTCGACGGCCTGCCCCCTCCAACCCCAGCGAGCTGACTCATGATCAGCTTTGTATTTTGGGACTCACAAACACTTATATCAAGTCTGGGAGTCCACCTGCCCCTCCTGCTCCACCTGGACCACCTGCTCCTCTGCAGCAGCACCACACACATAACTCACCTGGACAATCACACTATCTAAGTTCAGAGAAATACTCGCAATCTTACACCCCACCCACACCTCCTTCTCCACCTTTACCACCTTCAAACATCTATACCACAGCATGCACTGGACCAGGCTTGCTCCCAAATCTAACCACACCCTCTCCAACCCATATGCTGGGCTCTGCCTCCACACTACAAACCTGGTAAGCAGATATTCAGCTTTATGATGCTATGATGTCACAATGTGGTCATTTTATTTTACAATAGGTGGAATTGTTATCATGTAAATGACAGTCTGAATAAATAGTCCTAAAAGTTGACAGCAAGGTAACAGAAACCATGGGATACAATCCAAACCATAAAGATAAAGAAGGCATGGCATGTGTTTTAGAGACAGTCCTGAATTACTTACATTTTAAATCAGTTCTGCAATGACAGAGTGAGTCTGCAAAAGAAGGCTGAGAAAATATTCTTGAATTTAGACTGATTGACAGTCAGAACAAGTGAATGGAGTTTAATCAGTTAAAATAAATATTAAATTATTGTTGAAATGCGGAAAGTTTTTGACATTTAGAATTTAATCCCATTAAGTCACATGATATAGTATGCTACAGTTGCTATTGGTATACACAGAAGACTGTTATTGATATAAAAATGTGTGTGTACATATTATTGGCATAAAAATGCTACGAAGATGAAGCATGTAAAAAGGAAATAGCAGTGGACCTAAGATTAAGCCCTGTGGCACTCCAGAGGAGTTTGGAGCTTTGAATCTGTCTTCTCCTGTTTCAGCACCTTAGAGAGGAAAAAAAGGAGGAGATCAGAGTCTGAGGAACCATCTGCAGGAGTTGGCACCTCCAGCTCTGATGGTGAAGGAACTCATGGTGGTGTGGGGAGCACTGCAAGTGTTGGTGGAATGGGTGTGGGATCCTATCAACTACTATCTTGGGAACAGTACAGGCCAGAACAGTGGAGCACTTTGCACGACAGCAACTACCAGACACTGTGAGTCAAGGATCAACCCAGTCTCTTACTGCAAAGATAGCCTTTCTTGACCTACAACATGGTTTACCAGCATCACTGTGTTTTAGGTCTCCTCCTGCCTACCACGTTGATACAGATAAAGGCTTCAACTACTCCACAGCTGACGAGTCCTTTGTTTGCCAAAAGAAGAACCACTTTCAGGTCACTGTTCACATTGGTGTGGATGCAGAGCCACAGTACATCAAAACGGCCAGTGGGCCACAGGAAATCGACTTTTTCCAGATAAAAGTGTTCGGGGTAAAGGTGTGTATAGATTTACTTTCAGTTAGAGAAGGAAAAATAATCATGCAGACATTAAACATTAGTTTTAAATCAAAGGAGGTTTACATGCATAATAATACTCTATGAAAATGGTGAAACTCCATTGAGGGGCCAATGAACATTACATGGCTAAGGGTACAAGATAACTTCAGTGGGGTAGAGTCATCCTGTGCCCGTAGGAGAAACACAGCCTCAAAGTATTATGTTCCCACCTCCATTCTGCCAAACACAGTGAGTGCCAAAGACCTTGCAGGCGCTGCAAGATTTCAGTCCATTATGGTGTTTTGCTTTTAGATCATTAATAAACTCCTCACCTGCAGAGATGGGCAGTAACGCGTTACTTGTAATGCGTTACTGTAATCCGATTACTTTTTCCAAGTAACGAGTAAAGTAAGGGATTACTATTGCAAAAACGGTAATTAGATTACCATTACTTTCTCATAGGAACGCTGCGTTACTACATTACTAAAACCGTTTTTTTCCCGCGAGAATAATAATAATAATAATAATAATAATACATTTTATTTAAATAGCGCCTTTCAAAGCACCCAAGGACACTGTACAACAGATAAAAACTGGAAATATTCACAATGATAAAAATAGAAGATAAAAGTTAAAACATACAGAAATTTAAGAATAGGCAATTTTAAACAGATGAGTTTTGAGGGTGGACTTAAAAAGAGAGAATGAACTAATATTTCTGAGGTCCGGGGGTAGGGAATTCCAAAGTCGAGGCGCAGAGCAGCTAAAGGCCCTCCCTCCAATTGTGATCAGACGAGCAGAGGGAACAGAGAGAGAAAGAGAAGATGAAGATCTGAGGCAGCGGGATGGGAGCTTCATCTGTAATAAGTCAGAGAGGTACGGTGGAGAGAGAGAATGAATAGCCTTGAATGTATACAGAATTATTTTAAAATGGATGCGAAATTTGACTGGGAGCCAGTGAAGTTGCTTCAGGATTGGGGAGATGTGGTGGGTAGAAGAAGTCCTAGTAATAATACGGGCAGCAGAGTTCTGGACACGTTGGAGCTTGTTGATAGATTTTTGTTTAAGGCCAAATAATAATGAGTTGCAGTAGTCAATTCTAGAGATAACAAGATTATGGATGAGAATGGCAGTGGCGTGAGGTGTGAGGAAGGGGCGGAGGCGATTAATGTTACGGAGTTGGAAATATGCTGCACGTGTAATATTATTGATATGTGAGTTAAAGGATAATGTGCTATCGAGAATGACACCCAA